ATCGAGGTTAGAAGGGTAGGTGATGTAAAGGAGAAGGCTCATAGGATGGGGAGTAGATGGACGACCCTCAATTCTAATGGACAGTGTCACATTCAACTCGTGAGTTACTGAGGCACTAATATCCCTCTCACCCCTCAAAATGAGGTCTCACCTAAAGCTGCTACTGGTGTCAATGGGCTAACTCAAGTGATCACTATTTGTTGCGTTCGATGATTATTGTTTTTACTTTATGTTTACTGAATAAGTTTCGCATGAACAAATGGTAAAATATCGCATATGTATTTGCTCACTTTATGTTCTGTCCATAAAGGGATTGCTCAATCCGGTTATTGAAATGTCTGTAGTTTTTTCTCAGATTCCGTTATAACCACTTCCTTTTTATCACTAGCTGTGGTTCGTTCGGGTTTTGCTCCGTCCAAGGTCGGTTCCTATATTAAAGATCTTCAGCTACCTTAAGTGAACAGAAGGTCTTTTCGGCTGTGGTCTTCACCCCCATTCTGCTGTTTGTCCCACAATGGTTTGCTGTCCAAAAAAAGACGATATTTCTATCTTTTATGTTTTGGTTTTCCTGGTTAAGTTGATCTTTTCCTTCGATAAACACTTTTTAATCGTACCATTTACCATCCACTCATCGTCTTCCCTGCCCTTTCACTTAACAGAGATTGAATTGCTTCTCGTCTAATTAAGTCGACTGATAATCCCAGATTAAAATCTGTTGATGAACGGGATGTTAAATATACTTTTGACACATCATGCAAAAGGAAAAAGAAAGGAAGGAATTGGTTTCCTGTGAATAATAATGCATTGTGCTTTCATGTTATCTTTGGGATCAATAATACCAGCCTGCGGTGAACTTTTGGCACAATCCCATCAACCATTAATCTTTCGGTATGCATATATATATATATATATATATATCACAGCCGTTTGTTTTTCCCATCCTCCTCTTCCACCCACTCCCATTTCCTGTCCACGAAGCAAATCGCTTTTCGATTCTTCTCTCGTTTGCTCCCATGGCACGTTTATCCGTCTATTCACCTAGGATTTTTGTTATGGACACGTTCACGTCTGAGTTCCTATGCTAATCGATCGATCGTGATCTATGAGAATTTGGGGAATAATGTTTGTTGAATCGCGCCGGATTGTTTTTCTTTGATACCACAGGCGACGATCGAAAAACACGCGATTGTCCCATTTGTAATTTGTTTTGTGGTATATCGTCCTGTCTGCTTCTGATCACTCACCGAACGCCATTCATCTTTCGCCAAACTTGCGTTCCATTGAAGTTTGTAACGTGCCCAAACCTGTTTGGTGAGTTTTGACTAGTTCATGTTGTGGTTCACGGGACAACGAGGTGTACTGATGGTTGAGCTGGTCTGAGGTCGCATCTCTATCGAGGACACGCGCTATCGTCCTGATGGCAGTCACTATTTGAACCCCGGATCTTAACACCAATCAAGTCACCATCAGTTCCACTGTGGCTTTTTATTAGCCTTGTCCATCGCCCATCCACACAGACAATAACCTAGTTCATCTTCATCCTTATTGTTGTCTAGCTGCTTCTGATTGGCTAAATGGTCACGGATCCTAACTCACCCTGACGACTATCTGATGTCGTCTGATTTCAGTCTGAGTGGCCTTGTGCTGATTCTCATTAGCCCCCCCCCCCTACCGTGTGAACGGAACCAAGCTGAGATAGCAGCACTTTCTAAGAAGTAATTCAATTTGATCTGTCCGCCCTTCATTTAGGTGAATTTGTTTTCACTCGTTCTGTCTCACGTACGCAGGTGTGTGTGTGTGTGTGTGTTGATCAGAGGGTATCAGCCTTCTACCATTCCACGATCGGCTTTTCGATCTCAAATACTGATTGGGTGATTCGCGGGGGTGGGGACTGTGTGAGTGTCAAGGTGCATGGAACTGAACAGATATTATTTGGGATTCAACCAAAATCCTTGTTTCGGGTTATTCTGCAGTTCCGAATATGCATTTACATAGCTGTCGGGTAACTTGGACCTTGTCTGATCAACCTCACCATTACCGGTTGACAAGTTGTACATATTTTCCCGCTTCGCTGCAACTGTTTTCGATCGTCGTTCGCGCTTGTACACCATCCATTTGTCTTATTGTGCCGTTCTAGTTGCAATGGGCACAAGGCATAAGACTGCACTGGAATGGTGGCTTTGGTCCGCCGAAATGCATGAGTACAACTTTTTATAATATCGGACCCACGAGTGTCGGCTTTCATACCTCTACGTCGGTCCGATCACCGTTGACGTTCATCCAACCACTGCGTGTCTCAGAAGTCATCGTACCCCGTTCTATTCTACTCCCTTATCTTTGAAACTGCGTCACCTCATTTTATCTCTTCGCTTTGTGTATTGCTGTTTTAATGTCATATCGTTTTGTCGTAACTTTGAGCAAACTGATATGAAGCATCGCGGATAGCGCAAGCAGTTAACTTGTCGAATTAACAGTCTTTCTTGTTCAACTTCGAATCATGTGAAGTCAGTGGATAGGACCATTAATAATTCCCAAAGTGGTATACTCAAGTTTTTCCATGGTCATTGACTGTAATCGACGGCCACACTTTACAGAAAAATAAATCTCCTGTAATCACCGTCATCGGAGTACTTCAGAGTACATTCATTCTGCTATGTATTGTACGGTACATGTTTTACTGCTTCTACACAAGGACAATTTCCGGTATGAGATGCAATGCAATTTTCTGACTATGCACTCGCCGTTCAGCTCATGCACGTTTTCGGACACCTGTTAGTTTCCCACAAATCTGCATGTATGTTGTTGTTGGAATGTGACCACTCTCTTCCTCTTTTTTGAGCTCCGAGCGGAATACTGTCCGTTGCACTTGGACCACTGAGAACTTGATGCCAACCGTAATTTGCTTTGATCGTCGAGTTCCACTTTGGATATGAAACACACCAGTGGGGTTTCAATTGTATCTGAATCCAACGAAAAAATATTGTACGCACCCTCTCTACAGCGTTCGCTCATCTCTTTCTCTCATCCCTGTTGATCCCGGTTCTTTTGCACCTGTATTCAACGATTCCGCCTGTTACATCGACGTGAACCAGAAGTGACTCACTCATGTGTCACCTCTATTGGTCCTTGAAGATAGACTGCATCGCTTGACTCAAATACGAGTAAAATATGATGCTCGGGTTTCTTTAAACATCCGGTCGTCTCCAAGGGACAAGATAGTGATTCTTATAAGAATTTGTATTTAGTAGATTGTCGAAAAGTATAACACAAAACAATAAATAAATACATCGTTGTTATTTTTGCATAGAGCCGGATCAAGATGAAACTGCATAACACAGCTTCCTAGCTTTTCCGTTCACGCTGCATTTGCTCTATCCACGACATGATTGCTGCTCTTT